ACTCCAACTGAAAATAACATAAACGCACTTTACTCTAACAATGTTTCTTTGTACTCTTTTAGATAACTTCTTGTATTTGTTGAGGGTTGCCTGACAAATCAACATTCTACAAATCTGTGGAATTCTAGGGCTTACCGTAATAGAAATAGGCCCAAAAAAATGAAAAGATTCTTACATTAACGGCATGATTAATTTATAGATACGCACTTTATCCAAAATTGTTAATGTGTAACGAATTAAGTTTTTCGATTACGACAAAAAATCATAGAAATAAAAGGCACGAAAACAGACGCGCATTTTATCATGGAATCGATCATAGAGGGTGACCATGTAGATGAACGATTTATGAACCATGAAGCAGATAAATTTGACTAGAACAATCGACTGTATAACGATAATTCGATTATAAAACTCGAGTAGTTAAAAATGGGATTCAAAATGTACTACTGATCATATTTGATCGACGCCCAGCCTCTTCTACGGGCCCCCGGTAGGGGTCCGACACCAATCGGGCATTCTCGAAATGCACACGCAAGAAATAAAGCGGATATATATTCTATAGTAATATAATAAAACTAAAGAGTTTTCTGTTGATTCTCTGTTTAAACGTGCTAATATCAGAATTAAATGACTTCAATGAAAAATCAAACACCATTTTAGGTTATGAAAAATAACCGTTAGAAGCGGCGGAGTCAAAGATGAAATTGAAATGGCTAGTTTTTAACAAATATACGTATTAATAGGTGGATTTTTCAATAATATTTTTAGTCTAATCAACACTGTAAATGCGTCCATAACGCTGACTGCAGCTGGTTATCGTGGGGTGACCCTTTTTTTTTTTTTTTTTTTTTTCCGTGCGGAAATCCCCTCGGATACCACCTGTCGGTGGCATGTCGGACTCGAACCGACTAAAACCGCACGCCTTCGCCGGGTACTAATAGCCGGGGAACCAGGTATACCCTAGAAAGGAAGGCCCTGGTGCCCCGACATACCTCGGGTCATCTACAGACGAGTAGACGACCCCCGCCCCGTGTGGGAACCCCATGTTCCCTATGCTCCCTGGAAGCGAGCGCGCTTCGCAACGCGCTCGCCGCCACCCCGGCCTGCTTCTGCTAGGGTGACAGATGGCCTCACCTGTCACCCCCAGGCCTGCGCTTATGGAGGACGGAGGTCGTTCTGCGATCTCCGGCGCCTGAGTCGCCTGCGCTGCCTGGCCCGTGCCCGGGCCTGGCGGGCCGGGAGAGTTCTAAACCTCTCCCGGTCGTGGGGTGACCCTACGTGTTGATTATAGGTTAACGCTTATACTTGTCATACATTGATGTATAGGAGTATAACCAAATGCGGAGAAAATATTTTCAGATCACTATTTATAAAGACGTTTAGTAGGTGGGTGACGCCTTAATACAGATTCGCTTCACTGCTTTTTAAAATGTTAAAAAAGGCATCCATTCTTTCGATAGCTGAGTGTGGATGTGGAGGAGTTGTTCGCGCTCAGTTCTGTGTCTAAATTTAGAGCACATGCAGTCGATTTTCAGATATTAAATGGATACAATACTTTTTAGTCCCTTCTGAGACTGTTTATTAAGTAGCTTTTGTGTGTTATCGATTGAACAGAAACTAACTTTGTCCACCACCGTGACTGAGACCCGAGATTTAAATTTATTTTAGACTAGATTTTATCGCGGTTAATAGTAGCCTATGACCTTCCTCAAGAATCAAACTATCTGAATACCAAATTTAATCTAAATCGGCTCAGCGGTTTAAGCGTGAAGAGGTAATAGACAAGACATACTTTCGCATTTATAATATCAAATATGGATTATGATATCTGCAATTTGTATATTTGAACGAAAAAGGAATCTGATGCAGATACAACCTTACAATAGTTTACAAAGCCGGATTATGGACAAAGTTTTGTATATTCTCAATTGAAATTAAAAGCATCGTGAAGAATTATTCACGTTTGATCAGGAGTCCCGATCCAGTGTTGTCACGTTTGAATATCCATACCTCAGACTTTTATTCGTTTAGTACTCGATAATAATAAAATGTTATGGTAACAAAGCAAATACTTAAAAATGGAGTGATAAAACTGAGTGACTGTGGCAATGAATTCCAGAATATTTTATGGCATAACAGTGTAGGCACTACGTTGATTTACAAGCAGCCGTGAATCTCATTTATTATGCAAGTTTAGTGTCACGGCCGGAGAAGGCTACCCGTGTTGGCGATAAATGAAAAAAAAAATGTTGCAGATGAGCTGTCGGTTAACAGATAATTACCGACGACATGAATATGCAGATTTTTTTTGGTAGGATTTCTAAATATACGTTTTTTAGACTTTTGAATATAAAAAGAAGCATAATAAGTAAGAAGGTAATTTACTTGTTCTCGCAAATAACATTAAATATACAATAGTATGTATCGATTTAATGTCGATTAGACAATCGACATGGATCACGCCTTTTAATTACTAATACCTACTAGTAATCGCAGCGGGATAAATGTTAGTAAATAAAATAGTGAATTTGCCCATATAATTGTTTTCGCAATACATATGTTGACATTAACCTAATGAATTTGCAAATTTACCCATCACAAAGATTGATGTAAAAAAACATGTAACATCCGTCCGCATAACAATACTGTAATTTGGCATCTTTAAGATGATCTGGCAAACGTAGTGTAGGACGGCCACAGGCCAGGTGGAGTGATGATTTGCGCAAGATGGCTGGCAGGAGCTGGATGCGAGAAGCCTAAAGTCGATCTAAATGGCGTGCAATGGGAGAGGCCTTTGTCCAGCAGTGGACTGCGATAGGCTGCTGATGATGATGAAGTTGATCTGATGATAGGACCGCGAAGGTTAGAGAATTTTTTTGAGGGCTACTAGTTAGCTCTTTGAGGTTTTACTTATATGTTTCGTTTTGACGTGTCTCAACGATTGGGCTTGGTTATAATGTTCTGATGACGTAGAAGATGAAGGAGAATGGTGGAACTGTTTCTTACTGTTAATTCAGTTCACCATTAAATCCGAAGTAAGGACCGGATTAGTGTCAACCCATTTTTGTTGATCGATAGGGGCGTGTGTGGTGCCTGTAAGGCTTCTCTTACCGACCTCTGGGTCGGTCCTCGATCAGTTGTCCAAATAGCCACTGCAATGAATAAGTCTCATTGACGCGGGTGTTGTCGCAGTTTTAAGTAGTTTTAATATTCATATCCAGTAGCATTCGATTTACATCCCACACTAAACTACTAAATCGCTCTTGCAAACTATTTAAGTATGACTAATGTACAGACAGAGAATCATTACGTTTTATAACATGTAAATAAGGAAGCGTGTTTGACGATGCCTTGCACAACTAGATATGAATATTAGAGAAAATATTATACTGTTTGTAATATTGAATTTTATAAGGTTGGCAGAAATCTTTATAACGGAAAGCCTTCGGCAATGCCGACTGTTAGTGGTTACTGAGTCATCATGTAACTGAGTGTAAATTTTAATAGTTGCAGTCCAGATTTTAAAGTCGTTATAATATTACCTAAATGTACCGAAGTTACACAAATTTCAGTGGACAGTTTTAAAAATTTACACGTATCGGAAAATGCCTTGTAGATCTTTTTTAATTCTTTTCAAACCTGATACCAAATGTAAAGTATAACCGACATCAGGCATTCGGTTTTAACAAAGTTTATTACTGTTTTAAAATCTATAAACATAGCGTTAAGAAAGATAACAATAACTGTAAAAACTTCGCTATAGGATTTAGTGTACACAAAAAATATATCGGTGACATCAAAAGGTCAATTCAAAAGGATATAACTACGAGATGAGTCATACATATTGAACCCAACTGGCTTAGATACATACAAACAGATAGATACAAACACATAAAAATCCTATTAATATAAAATAAGGCCTTTAATCTCGAGGCACTTATAGATTTGAAGGTTTTCTAATTGATCAGATAAAATAATTATCATTACAGAATTGTACGGTACAACTATTTCATAAGGTAAAAAGTCAAAATGGGTCTAATCAATCGACTGAATGAAATACAGGTCTTCATATTTTGATTTTATCTTTTCATATACTAGTTTGATGTTAGCTTTAGTAACAAACTTTATATAAGAATCCATTGACAATAAGATTTAAATCATATGCAAAATATAACCAAGAATTCTGATTCTGCATATTATTTTTTTATATATATTTTTTACAGCACAAGGCACTCGCTTCTGTATCACATCACATACACAGTATCTTCGTCTGTTAGAACCACCACGTAATCATTGGCTCCGATGAAGTGATCACCCGAGGGGTTGTCCATACGATAGAAAAAGATTCATATATACATATACCGCTAACACTTGTGCAAAGCTTGAACTAGAATTGTACATTTATGATAGAACATTGTCGCATGTTGCAATTTATACATAACACATACTTATCGCTGCCTTTTTCAAGGTTTTCTAGTTTCCTTACTGTTTGGTTTTTTTTTGGTATGTTTGACATCTATTGCAGTGAGAAAATCAGTCGAGTAATAAAACAAAAGTTATTAAATCAGAAACAGACCTTGTCCATCATGACTATTACTTAATATGGACTGCTAGTCAGTGCAGAAATCTTTCGCAGTGGTGTCTGAATAGGACGGCGCTTTTTTGGATCCACATTAGCATTTCCCAATTGAAAGAGTAAAAATTACAATGTAAATGTTTACAACCGTCTGTCAGACATCAACGTATACGTGTGTTGTTGGTTTTCGACAATTTTAGACGAAATGTGAAGCTATCAGAGAACGGTCATTGGCCCTCCTAAAAAGGGTGTGAAAACAAAAGCCTCTTCACTTCATGGGCGTTGTACGAGTGACTATCGATTTAAAAAAATAAAAACCGTTACTTAGTCGGTACTTGATGGATGATTGTAAATAAATCCAATATTCCGCAATATATAGTTATTTTTAAAAATATTAGATGAAAAAGCATTAGATCTGTCTTACCTGCGGATCATCATCTTGCACCAAACTCCTTCTCTTCATGGCATACTCTTTCACCGCAGTACTGTTCTCTGAATTCGTATCAACGTTAAATGTCTTCAATCTCAACATGGGACTAATTGGACCCAATGGGTTATTGTATTTATTGTACGTCAGATATTTGTTGGCCGCCTGGTTGAGGGATGGATGCGGAGACAGTGACGGTGGGTTTGAAACGACCTCCATGATATTCTGTATGCTCGGTCTTTGACTTCGTTTTTTCGGCCTCACGAAGGTTCGGGAATCGAATTTATGCTTGTCTGGCAATGCAAGGATTTCGCCTAGAACAAAAATGTTTGTTTAATAATACACCCTACACTGCTATGGTTAACTTACGAACACGGGACTGAAACATTTAGTATGACATGGAAAATCCTTTTTTGCTGTAATCTTACGTACGCAGGAGGTATTTCACCATTGACTGGTGAAAAAATTAATGATTAGAGGTAAAACATTGGTTTTACCTCTAATAATTAGATTATATGGTGTGTAGTAAATTTATACGGGACGTCCGACAGAAGTTATAACTTAAACCAATCTAAGTTGAACTAATATAGTTGAACTGAATATTAAAATTGTTTAACTTGAGAAAAGCTTAGATTATTACTTAAATTTTATGTAAAGCGTCTGTCCAAAATAAGGCTAGCTCTGTGGGTGTGTGAGAGAGGAGGAGCCTGCATACCGCTGCCGTGTGTGTAAGAGGAAGGGAAGCCAGACAGACTGGTGCCGTAACGCGTTACGTAACGAAGCGGTTTACCTTCCCATAAGAAGTTATCACTTCAATAACATTTCTTTTTTCGGTTGGTAAGTACACATAAGTTATATTTACTAAATAACATTTTATATACATTTATTTCATATTGCAACTTATCATCCTTCACAAAATTTTACTGTTCCCGCCAAAGGGGCGTTATTTGTCTCAGTTTCTGGAAGTACTGGTTACGACCATTTCACCATAATCATTGTGATGAGAATAAAATGCTTAGCAACATTAAATTAATTGAATAGCAATCTGTTAAATACCTTTTATTTAGTAGTTTTATTAACAACGGCAATAACAAAAGCTCCTTACCAAGGGAAATCATAGGATTGTAGGTAAAAAATACCTAAACCGTTTTAGGTCTTTCTATATTGCCTGAAGAATCCCCTCAATTTTTCTAGGATATCATTATCACATCCTCCTGACCTAATATTATTTAAAACTGGAACTAGAAAGCATCTCCTTACAAAAATCCAAATAGAGAAAATAAATGAGAAGCTCGTTGAAGTCAAAATGACTTAATAATTTATTTCACGCTTTAACGAACATGTTACGTATCACGTATGCTAAGGTATTGAACGCATTACTTTTGTCGTATTTATTTATTATCATTATTACTTTAATTGTTTTACTGATTATCTGAAATAGCATGTACAGATAATGTATGTAATATCCTCTTATGTTTTTTTTACACAAATTTTTTTACAACCAAATTTTTTACTCATCTTAGTTAGCATTTCTTACGAGTAATCTTTATATCATTTTAATATATAAATTGGCTTTTTGGTGCAACCAAAATAAAACTTAATCAGCGGTTATAAAGTCCACCATTTATAAGTCAATCCTGGAAGGCAATAGTCGCTAGTCTGTTTGAAGTCGGTGCCGGTTTGGTAAAGAGACCACCTCGGGAGTTTTGATTACACCTTTCGATTACAAAAATAATTTAGCAAATCCACAATTGACGAAGATATCGCGTAACAAACACGTAAAAAAATAGTCGTATTGAAAACCTCTTATTTTTAATTTTTGAAGTCGGTTAAAAACAGCCAACAAGAGATCCTACCCAGTTATTCAGTATGTGAATTTGTCAGAAAACTGTTTATGTTTGTTAGATGGGTAGGAGACAATGGCTGTTGTTTGGAATTCGATATATATTTCTGAATAATATTTTCATTAAGGGAACGACATTTCTGTGTTCTATTCATACATAGGTGACAACCATTCAACAATGAAATCCCTTAATTTATAAGATGATTTAAAATCTCGGGCAATTTAGTTCTTAATAAAAATGTTCAGGGTACTTTTTACTGTTCTTGTGTGTTTCCCAGACAACGGGTATCGAAAATTTTATGTTAATCATTTGATTAGTTAATACATGAAGTCACTTCCATAAATGCAAGGATTATTAATTAGGAAGGATAACTAAAGTAGAAAACACACATTGCGATCAAAACAGAATATATGAATATTAATTATAAACAGAATATTGCCGAATTCAATTTAACAAGAGTCAGTGACAAACACTAATAGTTGCAGCGTATACAACATAAAACACTTTTATCTCTATCAGATTGCTATTTAAAATATCATCAGTTTCATATTTTAATAATAATAAACATCATTATTATTAACAATAAGTAGCACTGTTTGCAATAAACCGCAACAAAAAATACAATAAAACATTTAATTTACCATTACGAAGAAAACCATGTATATTTTATTGGAGCTATCATCATCATCATCATCAACAGCCTTTAATAGTCCACTGCTGGACATAAGCCTCTCCTTAGAAAGGAGGTTTTGGCCTACTATACCACGCTGGCCAGACGGGTTGGTATAGGGTTTGTGTCAAGTTTTCCTTCTCTCTAGGAGCTAATGACCATAAAATTGTGTCAGAAATTGCAGAATTTTGTAATGCATAGAACCATTGTATATTATAATCGTTCATGAGGTTAATGTTACAGATAAACTCATTATTAAAATGCTATTCGATCATTGGGATCTTCCGCTTCGAGGATATAAACGATGATCATGAATGTTGTAAAGAAACACAAATTATGTCTTTAAAATCGTTTAAAAAAGGGTGACATCAAATTTTAAACTACTTAGCTTTGTAAAAACTTTCTAGAAATGTGCCACGTGTCTTGCCCAGCCCATTAATGCATGTTATGTATTTTGAATTCATATTCAGTACGGCAAATATGACAAAAGATTCTAGTGTATTCTATATGTGTAAGGAAGTTGATACTAAGTAAGTAAGGATTGCACTCATTACGCCGTATTTAATTGACGATTTAGATTTAATTCAATAAGTGATTAGATAAATGCGGCATATAACCAAGTAGGAAGTTCAACAAACCCATTAAAAATCGCATCTCAGCTTACTATTAGTTGGATCGTAATAATAGCAAACAAATATAAGCTTTAGTTACATAAACCCAAGGACTTATTTCGCGTAGTGAGTACATGTAAGAAAATAAAAGCGTCAAAATTCGGTTCGCAACGCACTAACGTCTTAGAAACGTAAGTAATTGGTGCCCAAATCGGTAAGCATTTGCATTCCTGCAGCTACGGACGTGGTCAGGAAATGACAGTGACAGCTGTAACAATGTTATGACAGGAACACGTGAGGAGATTGTAAACTCTGCCTATTTCGTGCTGGTAGAAATAGGCTATGATTCTAATTTAATTTCAAGCGCTACTTGTAAGGTTTCCACTTTGCACCATTCCTTACTTAAGAATGGACTACGATTGAACTTGCCTGCAGAAATCATACTCATACAGAGTTACAAAGGAATGAATGATCACCGAGTACACTCATTTGAAAAAGGGTGAATTAAGTAATCATAAGAATATGTATATAAACGTTAGGCAACACTTATGGATATCAACGCAACCGTAACACATTATAACAATAGATATGCATTTTGAAGGGTAAATACGCGCGTATCGCCAGTATAGTACCACGTATGAAATGTTTTTAAACACAGCAAATTCGCGACGCGATTTGAATTTTGACTTAATTACTGTGTGACTTGTCGATAAGATTGCCTTACAATCTACTGCCTGGAGTGTACGCAGAGGTTCTGAGATTTACAAAAGAGAGCTGTGACTTGTATCTAAACCACCATCAAACTGATATATAATCAAGAAGATAAAAGCGAGTTACGAGAAAGAGCAAGAATTACAGGAATGTTAATGTTGGCCTAAGGGCCCACAATAAATAATTTCAAGAAAGCTGTATGCAAAGCCTGAAAAAGACCTCAGAAACGATTAGGTAGGACAGGTATTTACTCATCACTAAACGAATTTATTGTGTAAAAGACTGTAACAAAGACTGAAAAAATTTGCTAGACACTATTTAGTCTCCAGTGGGTAAGGCGTCTAAGTTTATTCATATATGTATTTTTTATTTGGTAAACTATATAATTCCTACATTGCGCGTTATCATTCGCTGACAATGAACGGCCTTGACCGACGTACTGTGGCATTTCTTTTGATACAAAGCAACTTAATTTTAGGTATTCATTGACCTCGTCGTAATACTTAACTAAAATAATCTCTTTTAATCCCTCTGCCCTAGTAGGATATTTTTTTATTATTTTTCCTGTGTTAATATCATCATCACCAACAACAGCCTTTAATAGTCCACTGCTAGATATAGGCCTCTCCTTAGATAGGCCATATTTGATTTAAAATAGTAGTGACAATAATGAAAAATTATGAAGCCCTAACCTCAAAATGTAATGTATGTTAAACACAATAACAAATGGTTTGGAAAGAGTTATTATTTTTAATATTTATCTTATACTAGTTTTTGCCCGAGGCCCGCCCGAATGTACGTCGGATATTGCGTATTTATAATATTAGTATGGATTTTTGTTTGAATTATTATTTTAAAACAAAAGTAACTTAAGCCGTCATGTGTAGAGACGAAACGAATATCCCGGCTATGAGTAAAATTACGATCCGACAGAAGTCAATATTATACGTATTTATTTCTTTTGATTTGCTTCATCATCATCGTTCAATAAATTTTTTAGGCCAATTATGGTAGGCCAAAACCTACTTTCTAAGGAGAGGCCTATGTCCAGCAGTGGACTTTAAAAGGCTGTTGTTGATGATGATAATGAAATAAGTGTTACTTTGGGATAGGAGGCAGAGAAATTGTTTGTATAGAAAATAAGTGTGGTTGGTTATAAAACTGAACGTTAAAATAAAGTATCCTGACACGTTAATTAAATTAAACTTAATTGTTTTATAAAGTTATAAATTTCATAAAACTAAACAATTAAGTAATAACTGAGTTAAGTAATGTAAAAAGTGTAAGTGACTGTTAGTTTTGCCCAAATAAATATTAACTAATTAGTATATTGAATTTGAATGATGATAGTTTCTATACATGTAATGCTTTTACAACATAAGAAGTCAATTATTTCCATGTATACATAAAAATCAATATCACAAAATGACGTTTTTTTTATCGTGACACTAATTAGTTTTAATTCGTGACCTCATTAA